CTTAAAGCTACTACAAACCTACATATTTAACCCCCTTCCCCCTCCTTGCATTTTTTTCCTCTACTATAATGACTCAGTCCAAGACGTCCACCTGTCTACGACAAAGACTTTTCTCCTTGACAATGGGTGGCCGTCTCGAACAATCTCGACTGTACCTCTAAGGCAAATCGTCCCTGCTCTTTCTTGCCCACCGGAGTGAACACACGGACTGGAACTCCATTGCTAGTGGTGTCCTCCACACAGTCATACTCCCCGACCACAAAGGCAGTAAGGTAGGTGGACATGGTAGGGGTGGGTTCAAACTTCACCATCCTCAAGTCTGGGTTCTCCGGACTGGGCTTTTCCTCTTCCACAGGCTGGGGGGAAAAAAATGTTTACCAAATTTGTAGTTTTAGTTTTATATTTGAAAAAAAGATGTGACATTTACATCACACTCACGATGGATACTAAGCTTGTTCATTTCGCAGCATAAACATTTTTCTTGTTCATGTTTTTAATAAAAAGTCATCAGCATTTTAGTAAAGTGTTAGTATTATCATAAGTATCAATACAATCGTCATTATTATCATCATCATCCATATCAATGCCATAATCATCACCATCCTTATTATCATTATTATTATTATTATTACTATTTCCTTTGTCTTAATCATTAACATTTCTACCTTGGTGAGATCTCAAGAGTGACTCGTTTACAAAAAGAACCAACAAAAAATCCATCTCCAAAGAACAAATAAAAGCTAACAGAAAAAATTAGGGAAAGGAAAGAGGAAGTACAGATTGACTGCTCAGTGAAGGACTCTATCATATATCACTTTTTTAAATGGCGTATGGCGAAGTATTTTTATCCATAGTTATCAAACAAAGTCTACAGTATTTGCACACCAATCTGGAGTTCAGACAGTGGGATCAGATTAAGTAATCAAGTTTTGTTCCTTTTTAAAAAATCATATAGTACCATGTTTGAGAGCGCCAGCCTGTCTTGGGGTACAACCAGCGTGAAAACAAACTTGGCTTTCACCGCAGGCTCGTCCCAGCACGGGTAAGCACGGCGAGCACCTGTGGCCTACAATAAAAAGATACAAATAGACAAGAAAAAATAAATGTATCATTCATAACTTTACTTCGCATTGTGTCAAAACATCAGCATATAGAATAGATATGAGCCAGCTGCTAGAAGACATATGCAAGCAAAGCTGTGAACGTCAGTGTTGCAACCATATGTAAATGTGACTACATATGTGGGGCATTGTGCAGAAATCAGGTGCTCGTCAAGATAATTAAATTGAAGAATACTGATATGCCACGGCAGACTTTTTGTACAAAACCTAAAAGTAAAAAATTTGTCACTAAATTGGTCATAAGATTTTTTAAAAATTTAACTATTTTGATGGTTCTTCATTTAATGATAGAACTCCCAGTAAAAAATACCACTGTTTTCCATAATTGCCAGTAACTAATATGACATTGATTTGAAGTTGTCGTAAAAGAATGTGCCCCAGCCACCACCAGTTGCTCACGTGCACAGCGATCTGACCACGAGCCGCTGGGAGTGGTTCGCCAAGATAAGGAGTTAACATTCCCCACTCTCTATGCTATTTAATCTTTTCTTTCCCAATTTTCAAATTTTTTCTGTAAACATCTTAATTATATAATTGAGAAAATCCAAAAAAGCCCACGAGCAACTGTTGACCTCAAAATGCGTGCCTGCTCCATAGCGTTGCTCTCCCGAGGGTGTGGTGTATTTATTTCTGTAGAACCCTCGGAGCTGGTCGTTGAGGGAACCCGTGAACTGGAGCTTCAGGAGGTACTCTCCCGGCTGAGGCAGAGAGGGAGACAGAGGAAGGGAGAGAATTACAAGGGAACAGAAAAGGGTGGTGAAGTCTCAACGGACACATCATTAGCTCAATTGATATTAACTTGGAGCACAGAGCAGGTGGCCCTGGTTCAAATCCATGAAAAAGGAACAATTTAGACACAGAGAATATCAGTTAAAAGTGGACATTTCAAGTTGACTTATCATTTTTGTTTTCGTAAGTGTTTTACTGCACTTGAAACACAATTAGGTCACATAAGTACCGAAGATTAGAGGTGTTACAAGAGAGTAACAAACACAAAGAAGAAGGAGGAGAGATAAGGATGACAGATGTTGCTAGTTTAGTTTTAGCAGAGGTTTTATGGCGCTCGCAACTGCATAAGGTCACATGAGCGCCAAGGGGTGGATGTCAACAGAGAAGTCCAAACAGGGAATCGGGCTTACTCTGCTCACCTCGCTAGCTTCAACAGCACAAAGTCTGTTTCGACTATCAAGGCACCCCAGAAATAGCAGGTCACAAGAGTGTGACAAACATACAAAAGAAATAGCGGAAAAATTACGGTAGTAAAGATAAGAAAAGAAAAAGCAGCAGTTCCCTGTTACAATTCAGGCACAGCTGACATTGATGAATCAGCCAACTTACAATTACAGTTCTACTGTGCATAAGAACATGGTTAATGTCTCCCCTTTGGGAATGGCCTAAAAACACTTCAGTCAGTAGCACCGCCCCGGGGGTGGACGGACGTTTGATAGGAAAGAAGGTGCAAACCGCACCAGAATACCTACAAACCACCCACGAATTAATATTTTCAATTCATTGACTTTTCTGCCACAAGACACTGACACAATTACTAAGCCTGTGATTAATTGGTGACCAAGACAAGAGTTAATATTGCAAACAGGACGACAAAACAATAAAGTCAGCAGCAGTACATTCTCCTTGTGAGAACAACAAGATAACTTAACAATTTTAAGGATTTGAACTTAGTACCCCACACCTCTAATGCATGTAAAATGACACCATTTAAAGTTGTGCGAGAATATCCAAAAGATCCATACAGATCAAATAATGAACCACTTGTCTGAGTTCATATACATATTCCTTTTGGATCAAACCTAAAAAACAAAAATCAACACGGCTGAATTACCTGTAGTCCTTCAGAGAAGTGGAACAAAATCTTCTCCTCATTAGGCTGATGTTCAATTTCCGGTACCAGAGTTTTCCCTGAGTCCTTACCTGTAACATACAAAATACACATATATGTGTCACGACGCGGTGGAATCAGGCGCTCGTCAATTTTTGGGTATGTGAAGTTATTGGAATCGTCTGAAAGCTGATTTATTTGCCTCATATATGTATCATACCATAAAAACTTATTTCACTTCCATGAGAGATAGCCTGCATTCTAAAACAAATAGGCATTTCACACTGTCTCCACACTTGATCCTTGTTCTTTTCCTTACTTGGAAACAATGCAATATGGGGTGATAATGAAGTATGTCTCTGTTTTCAAACTGAGGCTACACAATATCTGGGTAATACGATATCTGGGTAATGTGTCTAGATCTTTGCAATATGCCAATCATTTTTATCTACTCAAAAGGGAAATGTGAAAATCCACAAATTGCGGCACCCAAAACAACATTACAATCTCTTCAGTAACTGGGATATCATTAGTAAAGGACTTTACTTTAGGTTAATTGTAACTTGGGGGATGGAAAGGAGGTGGAGGGAGGGGGAATAATAAATAAATTATTCTTTGTAAAAGAACCAATGACCACAGTCAAGTCAACAGTACACCCCTATAGATAAGATACATCTTTATTGTCCAGATCCTGGCACATTGGTTTGGTGTTCCACCACGAGTTCACACACACACACACTCACACACACACACACACACACACACACACACACACACAAACATACACACGTACACACGTGCACACACATGCACACACAAGTAGGCTTACAATCACATGCATAATATGAGCAGCAATATAAACAATAATAATCGTAAGCTAGATACACACTCAATGTTATTTTGATGCATGCTCTAAGGTCGTAAGTACACTAAACAAGATGGTTAAGATGGAAGCATTTTGATAGATGATGGTAAAAATGACCTTCTGTATCTTTCTTTGTTACAGATCAGAAGCATGGGTCTTTTACTTCTGACTGATGTTTTTATTTGAGGGAACAAGGGATGTTTGTTGTCTAAAAAGATGGAATTAATTTTCTTAGTGCAAGCTGTTATGTACAATTCATCCAAGTAGGGGAATGAAGATGTTGAAATTTTACATGCTTTCCGTATTAGTCGATTTAATTTTTTTTTTTTTTTTAGTCAAGTCAACAGTACACCCCTATAGTCAAGTCAACAGTACACCCCTATAGTCAAGTCAACAGTAACCCCTAGAGTCAAGTCAACAGTACACCCCTATAGTCAAGACAACAGTATACTCCTGTAGTCAAGACAACAGTATACTACTCTGGCTACTTACCGGACAACGACGCCTCAGACACTGTGATCTCAAAACCATTCACTGTTATTGAACTGGTCACTGATTTAACCTGGGAGTAAAAACAACTTTTAGAAAAAGGCAAAATTCGTATCACAGAATAATTCGAGCACAAACTGTCAGAAATATGCAATGATGGCTTATTGGTATAAGAGAACAATGTACAAGTACACAAAACTAAAAAATTTTTTAAACCCTACTGTAAATGTGATGTCACACAAAAATTAAAATACAAAACAATAAAGATCAAGGACAAGTAAAATCCTCTTTAGTATCTAAGCTCTTTTGTACTGCATACAAACTCATTCATTCATCTTTTCAACTGCTTTTTTCAGAAAATTTTAATGACAAAAAAAAAGTATTTTGGAAACCAAATTATTTCCTCTCATCAGTGTTTAAGTTCTGAGTTATCAATACTAATACAACAACGAGGATATTCGGCACCGATAAAAGTGCCATGTACGACCAAGTAGGACCAGTGTGGAACCTTTCCTGATCATGGGAAACATGGGTCACAATTCCATTAACCCATCAAAGAATCATTGTCTCTAGGTGAAAACACTCCCAAAATTGATCCATCGCCAAACATGAGAAATTCCACCAAACAGTCAGGAGTTGAAAAACTCTTTCAATAGTTTTGTATTATTTTGCTTTTTTAGCCTTACGTTTTTTTTTATGTTGGTGTTTTTACACCCCCCATTAAGATCATTCAGGAGGTCGACTTTGAACCTGCCTGGCAGGAAAAACCCAGGCTGAGAAGAACACTACGTCCTAGTAGAAAGACATGTATAGATACTCCAAAAAAATTATTCCCACATGGGAATTAACTCAGGTTTTCTGTGTGTGACAGCAAAGAAGCTAACAGCTAAACCACAGATACCAGTTCTTATCCTAACAGTAACAGTATTGCATTGCAGCAAAGTTTGTTTTTATAAAAAGCAAGAAAAAAAAAAAGCTTTAAATTCTATTTAAAGGGGACAATTTTGAACTAAAATATTTTCAAATGCATCTCACCATCAAATGAACAACCTCCCATCCTTGAAATGTGAGCTCAACAAGGTCAGGTTTCAAGGTAACTTCATACAGCTGAGGAACCACATCTGTTGGCAACCGCTTAAACAATGTCTTCTCTGAAGTGGACATTTCTCAGCTTCTATTCTGTGTCTGCTTGGCCTGTTCCTGCAGTCAACACAGATTTACTTTAGTTTTGGTAATAGTTTTACTGCATTGGCAATACTATTAGGTCACATCATAGGTGCTGAAGATCAGAGGTATTACATGAGTGAAACATACTAGTAAAAACAAAGAGGAGAGATTAATAGGGCAATAACCACACACGAAAGACGTCACTTGGGATTAGTATGAAATAGTTACCCGAGGAAGGGGAAAAATTATAATGGCAGCATTTTTCAACAAAGCATTCTGGTAATTGACCATTCCATTAACTTTTCCCAAATCTCAAAATATATCAATAAACACTTAGTCAAAATACAGTGCACGAGTCTCTGAAATTCTTCCTCTGACTGATGCTGAAATCAACTGGAGATTCAACTATACTCATTATAATGAAACAATGATTTAAACCAGTGTCAGTTGCAAAGAACCAACTGGGTCATCTCCGACGTAATTGCAAAAACAGAAACATAAATTTGCACCGTCATCAAAAACATCTTAGATGCATCAAGTACCCGATGTGAAGAGAGCTCTTGAAGACCTTCAAACATCCTTTAAAACTGACATCTGCCGGTAGGCCTACTTATTGACATTTTTAGAGCGCTGCATGGTACAGGCCAACATCTACCACTTCAGTGCCTTGTTAACATAGACTTAATTAATAAAAGAATAACAGTATCAAATCACCCTACATTTGAATAAGTCCGGCTCTATTGGAAATGGCGCGTTCTGAATAGCTCCCGTGCTATTTGAAACGCCAGTACTAGTCTCGTAGCCATCGTTTCTACCTTTCATTGCGCCACTACGATTGGGGGGAAGGTACGTTTTCTGGAAATAAGATTTTACCCGGAAGGTAGGAAATAAGAGGAGGGGAGGGGGGTACAGGTGTCCCAGGAAGTCCCAGGAAAACCAGTCGATTTACTAGAACCAGTACCGATTCTGTCATTCCCTGGCGTTCGTTCGTAGTTGAACGCTGTGCATAGGCAGGCCTACACAAAAAAAATAGATCGAACGGCTACGTGCATTTCGTTCAGGGTCGAGGAATCGTGTCCTCGGGAAGCGGTCGTCGCGTGCATGACACACTGACGACAAACGACTTCATTGAAACTGCACGGGCGATTCCGTTCCCTTTCCAGGAATGGGCTTTTTCGGGTATAGGCGAAATGATCAGCCGAGAGGGAAAGAGAGAAAGAGAGAGAGAGAGAGAGAGA